GAGGCATTTGGCAAAATGCAGGACAACCTGAATCGTAATAATATCTGTAAAATAGGGATACTAGAGGAAGAAGAACAAGGGATAGAGAATTCTTTGAAAAAGTAATGATGGAAATTTTCCTTAATTTGAGCGGAGAAAAAGACACACAAGTCCAGGAAGCACAGAGGGTGCCATTCAAGAAGAACCCAATGAAGCTCACTCCAAGACATATCATCATTAAAATCGCAAATATCAAAGACAAAGACAGAATCTTAAAGGGAGTAAGGGAGAATGAGGTAGTAACAAACAAGGGAGTCCTGATACAGCTAACAGCTGACTTCTCAACAGAAATACTACAAGCCAGAAAGGAATGGCAAGAAATATTCCAAGCAGTGCAAAGGTCTGCAACAAAGATTGCTCTATCCAGCAAGGCTCCCAATTAAAATGGAAGGAGAAATAAGAAGTTTCTGACAAAAAGAAGGCTAAAAGGATACACCTCCACCAAATGAGCACTGCAAGTAATGTTAAAGGGACAGCTATAAGAAGATGAAGAAAAAGAGTGAGAAAGAGAGAGGAGTACAGGTTGAAAGGAAAAAATGAGTAAGTACCTATCAATAATAACTTTAAATGTAGATGGAATAGATCTTCCAATGAAACAGCATATGGTAGGTGAATGGTAAGAAAACATGACCCATACGTAGGTTACCTACAAGAGATCCGCCTCAGAACAAAGGACCTACACAGACAAATTAAAGGGATGGACAAAAATATTCCATGCAAATGGACAGGAAAAAATAGAAGGGGTAGCAATACTGAGACAAAATAGATTTCAAAACAAAGGCCATAAAAAGAGACCCAGGACACTTCATAATACTCAAAGGAAGACTCCATCAAGAAGACATAAGTATTGTAAAACTACATGCATCCAACACATGAGTACCCAAATATATAAGGAAAATCTTGGAGGACTTCAAGAAAGATGTAGACAACAACACACTGAAAGTAGGGGATTTTAACACCCTACTGTCAACAATGGATTGATCTTCCAAACAAAATATCAACAAGGATAAAGTGCAACTGAATGACACATTAGACCAACTGCACTTAACTGACATATATAGAACCTTTCTTCCCCGAAAAACAAAATGCACATTCTTTTTAAATGTAAATGGAAGATATTCCAAAATAGAACACAAGACAAGCCTCAAAAATCCAAGAATATTGAAATCTTAACAAGCATTTTCTTGAACCACAAGGCCTAGAAACTAGAAACCAACCTCAACAAAAAAAACTCAAAAACATTCAAAGTCATGGAGACTGAATAGCATGCTATTAAATAATGAATGGGTCAATAATGAGGTCAAAGAGGAATTAAAAAACGTTTCTGGACACAAATGAAAATGAACACACACCAGTCCGAAATGTATGGGACATAGCAAAGCAAGTCTTGAGAGGGAAGTTCATAGCAATACACCCTACCTAAAAGAGAAACATTTCAAATTAATAACCTAACCCTACATCAAACAAATCCCAGAGCAAGTAGAAGGAAGGAAATAATAAAGATGAGAGGAGAATGGAATGGCAGAGAGACTAAAAGAACAATTCAAAGGATCAAAAACTCCAGGAGATGGTTCTTTGAAAAGGTAAACAAAATCGACAAGCCTTTAGGTAGACACATCAAGCAAATAGAGAGGACCCAAATAATAACATCAGCAATGAAAGAGGAGAAATAACAACTGATACCACCGAAATACAAGGCATTGTAAGAAATTGCTATGAACAATTATGTGTCAAGATATTTAAAAACCTCGATGAAATGGACAAATTTCTAGAAAAATACAACCTTACAACACTGGCTGAAGACGAGCAGAAAACCTGAACAGACCAATAACAGCTTGTGGAACTGAAGCAGTAATCCAAAATCTCCTGGCATGCTAAAGCCCTGGACCTAACAGTTTCACAGGATAATTTTACAAAACACTTGATAAAGTACAGCATCCACTTATGAGAAAAACACTCAGCAAAGTGAGAGTAAAGGAGGCATACCTCAACATAACAGAGGCCATATATAAGAAGCCTACAGCCAATGTAATACTCAATTTGCACAAACCAAAAGCTTTCCCAGTGCGTTCATGAACTTTCCAAGGCTGTCCCATCTTCACCACTTCTATTCAACAGAGTATTCGGAGTCCTAGCCACAGGGATCAGACAAGAAAAAGTAATATAAAGCATCCAAATTGGAAAGAAGGAAGGAAAACTGTAATTGTTTGCTGATGACATGATAGTGCACATAAAAATCCAACAGACTCCATCAAAAAACTACTCTACCTAATGAGTGAATTTGGCAAAACAGAGGGATATGAAGTCAATATTCAGAAATCAAAGGCATTTTTGTACTCCAACAATGAAATATCAGAATGAGAAATCATGAAAAAAATCCCATTTGCTATAGCAACAAGAAAAGTAAAGTACCTAGAAATAAACTTAAACCAAGGAGGTATAAGACCTGTACTCAGAAAACTACACAACACTGAAGAAAGAAACTACACAACACTGAAGAAAGAAACTAAGGAAGACACAAATAAATAGATGCATATATCGTGTTCATGGACTGAAAGAATTAACATTATCAAAATGTCCATACTACTCAAAGCAACTTACAGATTCAATGCAATCCCTATTAAAATAGCAATAACATATTTCACAGATATAGAACAGACATTTCAAAAGTATATGTGGAACCATGAACGACCCCAAATAGCTGGACCAATTTTGAGAAAGAGAAACAAAGCAGGAGGGATCACAATACCAGACATCAAATTGTATTACTTGGCCACTGTAATCAAAACAGTCTGGTACTGGCATAAGAACAGACACACAGATCATGGAACAGAATAGAGCTCAGTAATAAACTCATGTCTCTATGGTCAATTCATATTCGACAAAGGGGGCAGAAGCACAAAATGGAGTAAAAATAGCCCCTTCAACAAATGGTGTTGGGAGAGCTGGACAGCTACATGCAAAAAACTGAAATTCGATCCCCAACTTACACCATACCAAAAATAAACCCAAGATGGTTAAAAGATTTAAATATAAGCCGTGACAATATAAAAGTCCTAGAGGAGAACATAGTGAGGAAACTCTCAGATATCCCATGCAGCATTATTTTCACCATTATGTCTCCTAGAGCAAGGGACATAAAGAAAAAAATAAACAAACAGGACTTCCATCAAAATAAAAAGCTTCTGCACAGCTAAAGAAAACATCAGTAAAATGAAAAGGGAGCCAACTGTATGGGAAATATATTGGCCAATGATGCCTCAGACACGGGTTTCATCTCCAAAATTATATATAAAGAACTCACATGACTCCGCTCCAGGAAGACAAACAATCCTATTCAAAAATAGGTAAAGGACCTGAACAGACACTTCTCAAAGAGGACATACACAGGACCCAGAAACATATGAAAGGTTGCTCATGATCACGAGCCATCAGAGAAACGCAATTAAAACCACAATGAGATACCACCTCACACTGGTGAGAATGGCCATCATAAATAAATCAGCAAACAGTGGGTGCTGGAGAGGTTGTGGAGAAAAGGGGACCCTAGTACACTGTTGGTGGGAATGCAGACTGGTGTAGCCACTGTCGAAAACTGTGGAATTTCCTAAAAAAGTTAAAAATGGAACTGCCTTTGACCCAGTGATTCTACTGCTGGGATTACACCCTAAGAATCCCAAAACACTAATTCAGAAGAACCTAGGCACCCAATGTTCTTAGCAGCACAATTTATAATAGCCAAATGCTGGAAGCAACCTAAGTGCCCATCAGTAGATGAGTGGATCAAAAAACTATGGTACATTTATACAATGGAATACTATGCAGCAGAAAGAAAGAGCTACTACCTTTTGCGAAGGCGTAGATGGAACTGGAGAGCATTATGCTAAGTGAAATAAACCAGGGGGTGAAAGACAAGTACCATATGATCTTACCTGTAATTGGAACCTAATCAGCAAAGCAAGTGGGCAAGGAAAACATGACCAGCAACATGGAGAGAAAGAAACCGACAGGGAAGGGAGGGAAGGAAGACAGGTAGGGGGGGTAAGCAGGGATGGGAAGAGGAAGGGTCAGATCATGGAACAGGTATGAAGGACACTTGGAGGAACCTAAGGTGGGGAAGTATTAAGGGGGGGAGGTGGGGGTGGGTGGAGCAGGGAAAAGTGTGGCGGGTACATGGAGACAACTGTATTTGAAAAATTAAAAAAAAAAAGAAGTAAATGCAAATAAAAAAACTAAAAAAGAACTTAAGGCTCTTTGCTTCGAGGAGTCAAAATGTTTTTAAGAAAAACTATTAATTAAACCCTTATCTATTTCTAGGATACGGGATTTTGTGTCACCACAATATTGTGTTATATTCAGAAGGAAATATGGATCTCTGAGTGTGTAAGAAAAGAAGCAAAAGTAACTAGAGTGGGGGCATTTTTAATGAAAATAAAGTCCAAGCAAAGATAGTACAGACCAATGTGGGGGAAATGTGGGAGAAGATAAGGTACAGATAAGGTCAGCATGAATAAGGGACACGACTTTTGCCCTGGCTGGTGGATCTCAATGGATTGAGCGCAGGCCTGGGATCTCAAATGTCACCAGACTGATTCCCAGTCAGGCCACATGCCTGGGGTGTGGGCCAAGTCCCCTTTTGGGGCATGCAAGAGGCAACTGATTGATGTTTCTCTCATATGTCAATGTTTCTCTCCCTGTCTTTCTCCATCCCTTCCCTTCTCTCTTAAACAAACAAACAAACAAACAAACAAACAAACTACTCAAGCCTTTCAAAAAGATAAAAGAGTACAACTTTCTGAAAAGGAAGAAGGGAGAATAAGTGAATATATACAGGTAGAGCAGTTTGAGGAAACCATCCTTGAAACCTCAGCTTTATCCACAGAGCAGCAAAATGCAGAGAACTCCTAAAACATTTAAATAGGGATTTCTGTCTCATGGATTAGCCTGGGTTTGTGACTTACCATGGTGCTTCATTGATTTCTTTGGAGTTTGTTCTTCACTATATAGTTGTCTTCAATTTGCTGCAACTAAGAGATCGGGGAAACACAGGGATTGAGCAAATGTGCAGAAAACAAAATCAGTTCCAAATTCTTGCTTATCAGGGATGTATCAGGTATGGTTTTTCAGACAACTCAGTAAAGCTACCATTCTCCAACTCTTATCAAGTAAATTTCTTTAGTTGTTTAGAATAATCAAAACCATCCCTTTGTACCAAAAAGAAATTAGGAAACTCTGACCTGAACGACAGCTCCCGTTTAAAATTGAATAAAGCCTCCAATGGGACTTTTGGTCAAAACGGAGGCATAGGTAAATGTGGTTTGCCTCCTTAAACCACAGAAATATTACAGCTAAATGACAGAACTGGTATCACTCAGAAGTGTCAGAAAATTGAAAAGTATGGAAGTCCAAAACTAAGGAATTAAAGAAACCACATTTGGGATTTCTGCCCAAGATGGAGGCCTAGGTAGATATGCTTCACCTCCTCACATGACCAAAAAAGGATAACAACCAATTTAAAAACAAAAAACCACCAGAACTTCCAGAAAATCAAACTGCATGTAAGTCTGACAACCAAGGAGTTAAAGAAACATTCATCCAGACTGGTAGACGGAGCGGAGGTGGGCAGCTCGGGCAGAGAGGTTCTGCAGCAAGGCAGCGGATAGGGGGCAAGGCTGGGGTGGGCCGACCAGGTGGTCCGACATTTGCATGTGGATAAGGTGAGAGGACCAACTGGGGAGCAAGATAGACTGCGAAACCCAGGGTTTCAGAACAGGAAACTAAAGACTCAAAACTTCTGGCTGTAAAAATCTGTTGGGGTTGCGGCAGCAGGAAAGACTCCTGGTTTCATAGGAGAGTCCGGTGGAGAGGCTCACAGGGTCCTAGAACGTACACAAACCCACCCACCTGGGAATCAGCTCCTGAAAGGGCACAATCCGCTTGTAGGAAGTGAGGGAAGTGACAGAAAGTGGGGCAAGAGCTGAGCAAGTGAGCAAGGGGCACTGTTCGCTCTCGGGGCACTGTTCGCTCTCTGACCCCTGCCCCACAGACAGTGCCACAACACAGCAGAGGGTTGCCCTGCCCTGGCAAATACCTAAGGCTCCACCCCTTATAATATAACAGGTGCACCAAGACAAAGAAATATGCCCCAAGTGAAAGAACAGATCAAAAGTCCATAAAAAGAACTAAGCAATGAAGAGAGACAACCTATGATATGCAGAGTTCAAAACACTGGTAATTATGATGCTCACAGAAAAGATTGAGCTTGGTCGCAAAAGGAAGGGAGAAATGAAGGATATACAAAGGAAATAAAGGAAAATATACAGGGAACCAAGAGTGAAGGGAAGGAAACCTGGATTCAAATTAATAATTGGGAACAAAAGGAAGAAATAAACATCTAACTGGAACAGAATGAAGAAACAAAAATTAAAAAAAAAAAATGGGGAGAGGCTGAGGGACATCTGGGACAACTTTATACGTTCCAACATCTGAATCACAGGGGTGCCAGAAGGAGAAAAGGAAGAGCAAGAAATTGAAAACTTACTTGAACAAATAATGAAGGAAATAGACTTACAAGAAGTTCAGGAAGCTCTGGGAGTCCCAAAGAACTTGGATGCAAGAAGAAACACACCAAGATACATCATAATTAACTTACCCGAGATTAACAATAGGGAGATCTTAAAAGCAGCAAGAAAGGAGATAGTTACCTATAAGGAGTTCCCATAAACTACCAGCTGATGTCTCAAAAGAAACCTTACAGGCAAGAAGAGGCTTGGAAAGAAGTATTCAAAATCATGAAACGCAAGGACCTATATCCAAGATTACTCTATCCAGCAAAGCTATTATTTAGCAGATAAGGTAAAGCTGAAGGAGTTCATCATCACCAAGCCCTTATTATAGGAAATGTTAAAGGGATTTAGATAAGAAAATGATCAAAACTATGAACAGCGAAATGACAACAAACTCACAACTATCAAAGACTGAAACTAAAAAACAAAAACTAAGCTAACAACTAGACCAGGAACAGAATTACAGAAATGGAGATCACATGGAGGGTTATCAGTGGGGAGAGGGCAGGGGGAGAATGGGGGAAAAGGTACAGGGAATAAGAAACCTAATTAGTAGGTACAACATAGACAGAGGGAGGTTAAGAAAAGTATAGGAAATAGAGAAGCCAAAATTCTTATATGTACAACCCACAGGCGTAAACTAAGCAGGGGATATGTGGCGGCGGGGGGTGGGGAGTGGTGGGCGGATAGGGGTAAAGGGGAGAAAAAAAATTGGGACAACTGAGACAGCATAATCAATAAAATATACTTTGAAAAAAAAAAAAAGGAACCACATTCATCCAGATCGATAGGAGGGATGAAGGGGCAGAGATAAGGAATCAGCTGGGCCCAAACCCACATGTGGTGGATATAAAACGGGGGGATATCTCAGGAATGAGGGATCCCAGCTCCACACCAGACCACCCAGCCCTAGGTTCCAGTGCTAGGAAGAAAAGTCCCTGTAACTTCTGGCTATAAAAATCAATGGTAGTTGGGGTTCTCTGGCCTCTCCTCTCAAAGGATCTTGCACCACACAGACTTATTCAGATTCACTCCCTCTGGGCTCCAGCACTGGGGCAGCACCTTGAAGGGTACTAGTGGCATACAGGGAGGAAATGAAGTGTCTGGCATTAGGATAATAGCTGGGGGACAGCTTCCTGTCAGACAAGACTGCAGGCAGAGACCACTGTTCCTTTTCTGAGCCCTCTGCCACACAGAGCCACAGTGCTATGGCATGTGCCTGAATCTCTATTGACCTGGCTCACACTACAAGCCCTGTCCTGATGATTACCTAAGGATCTCCCCATCCAACTTACAGGCACACTCAAGCTGGTAATAGTGGCTTTTCCATATGAAGGGCTGGGCCAGGTGTAGGCTTCATTCCTTAAATCCACTTAAACAAGCAACAACTGAGCCCAGCTCCCCATACTTCTCATTGAGTGGCCCCTGGCCCAGCAATAGCAGCAGCCACCTGCAGATTGCTTTATCGCTTATGCCAAGCGGGGGGAGGGTCCCAGAAGGAACACAGGTGGAAACAGACCTTGGCCTACACCACCTGGAAACCTCAGGGCCTGTACACCCAGAGGAGTTATAGACTACATTGAAGTGACACCCAACCACCTCCATAAGTTACAGAGAGACGTGGTTACTGGCCATGGGCCATAGCCAGTCCTACCAGCTGTCCGGACTGGGTGAATCTCTCCCACCAACCTGCTGACAGCAATCAAGACTCTTCTACAAGAGGGGGCAGCACCTCAAGTACATAGCTTGGGAGATAAGGGAGGCTGTGTCATCAGGCCTTATATAATGATTGCTACATTAGGCCATGCTACCAAGACACAGAGTCAAAGCAGCTTTACCTAAAACAAAGAAATACAGGGAGGCTGCCAAAGTGAGGAAATAAAAAAAATATGACCCAAATGGAAGAGGAGAGCAAAACTCCAGAAAAAGAACTAAACAAAATGCAGATAAGCAATTTTTTAGATGTAGAGTTCAAAACACTGGTTATAAGGATGTTCGAAGAACACATGGGTACTTCAACAGCATAAAACAGACCTAGGCAGAATTGAAGGATATACTAATTGAAATACAGAACAATTTAGAGGGAATCAACAGTGGAATAGATGAAGCCAAGAATTCAGTCAATGATTTGGAACATAAGGAATAAACAAACATTCAATCAGTACAGTAAGAAAAAAGAATCCAAAAAAATCAAGGATAGTTTAAGAAGCCTCTGGGACAACTTCAGACGTTCCAACACTGACATCACAGGGGTGCAAGGAGGAGAAAAGAGCAAGAAATTGGAAACCTATTTGAAAAAATAATAAAAGGAAACTTCTCTAATAAGGAAATAAGACATACAAATCCACGAAGCAGAATGTTCCAAAGAAGATTGGTAAAGAGGACAGTATCAAGACACATCATAATTAAAATGCCAAAGGCTAAAAATAAATAGAGAAACTCAAAAGCAGCAAGAGAAAAAAGCAGATAATTACCCACAATGGAGTTCCCATGGGACTGCCAGCTGATTTCTCAAAAAAATTCTGCATGCTAGAAGGGATTGGCATGAAGTATTCAAAATAATGAAAAGCAAGGACTTACAACCTAGATCACTCCATCCAGCTAAACTATCATTTAGAAATTAAGTGCAGATAAAGTGCTTCCAAGATGAGGTAAAGCTAAAGGAGTTCATCATCACCAAATCATTATTATATTTAATGTTGAAGGGACTTAAGAAAAATATCAAAACTATAAACAATAAAATGGCAACAAACACATTCCTATCAACAATTGAATCTTAAAAACAAACTAAGTAAAGAAGAACAGAAACAGAATTATACATATGTAGAATACTGGGATAGAGGCCAGTGGGGAGGAGGCTCTGGGGGGATGGGGGAAAAAGTGAAGGGATTAAGAAGTACAAATTGATAGTTACAGAATAGGCAGGGGGATGTTAAGAGCAAGTATGGGAAATCCAGTTGCCAAACAACTTATATGCATGAACCCATGGAAATAAATAAGGAGAGGGGACTGCCAGAGGAAGTTGGGGTGCTGGGTGAAGGAGGAAATGGGGGAAAACTAGGATAACTGTAATAGCAGAGTCCATTTAAAAAAAAAGAAGTCTCCAACAGGCAGATGTCCAAGCTCATATTCTTAACTACTGAGACCAAATGGCTATAGCTTTCCAGCATCCCAGCTCTGTGCAGCTGCCTGTGAGTAGCAGCCAGGTGACTCCACTCTTCCACAGAGAAGTCCTTAAATGTTAGGGGTTCCAAAACATTAAGCACAATCCTCCGTAACTGACAACTATCTACACAAATGCCCTGGAAGGAAGGTGATGTTGGTAGCACTTGAAAAGGTAAGAAGAGTAAAGAAGTGTGCAGTTCAGGGAGCTGAATCAAGGTTTGTTTTTTTGTTTTTTTTAAAAAAATATTTTATTCATTTCTAGAGGGGAGGGAAGGGAAGGAGAGAGGGAGAGAAACACTGATGTGTGAGGGAAACATCAACTGGTTGCCTCTCACACGCCCCCAGCTGGGGACCTGGCCCACAACCCAGGCATGTGTCATGACTGGGAATCGAACCAGTGACCTTTTGGTTCGCAGGCCAGCACTCAAGCCACTCAGCCACACTAGCCAGGGTTCTAACTCAAGTGTTGTTGGAAATACTTTCCTTTGTCATCTACTTTGCTATTTCCTTCCAAATCCTTCCCCTCCTGCCTACAACTCACTCAAGCTCTAGCTATTCAGCTACTTCATCTTTTCATGCTACTGTCATCTCATGGTCATTGCTGAGTTGTCCTCTATACCCCATGTCCTACTATCACCCTGTCAACTTTAACACAAATGAGAACAATTCACCAAACAACTTAACCTGACATTTTAAAATCTCTATAGTCTCAAAAACCTAGTTTCATTTCATGCTCAATAGACAATAGCCATAATTAGGGCAATTTCACTATCTTGGACCACTCTGCTTTTGAAATATTAGTACCTTAATAACCACACCTTAAAAAAATTTTCTAATTCTTTCTGTTCTTCCTTTTCTATCACACCTGCTTTAAGATCACCATCCGTTCCAGGAGTGTCCAACCTCTTGGCATCTCTGGGCCACGGAAGAAGAACTGTCTTGGGTCATTGTAATTCTGTGATTACATGACATTGTGACATGTAATCACATAACAGATCTCATGATGTTTTAAATAAATTTATGATTTTGTGTTGAGCTACATTCATAGCAGTCCTGGGTTGCATGCAGCCCACAAGCCCCTGCAACCCTTCCTCTTTTTCCTCTCAGCCACGGTATACTTCATACCTCAAATTATTCCATAGTCATATCAGTCCTATGTCCTTTCTTCTTCTAAATCTAGTTGAACATTACTGGAAAAAAAAATAAAGTAGCACATATACACATAACCATAACATACTCTAGGAATTTGCAATACCTCCTTTCTCCTTAACTCCAGGCTCCAGCTTTCCACCTAAGTTCTACACTTGGATGTCTAAAAGGCAAAATTAAAATTTAATAGGCCTCAGCACAACTCTTCCTCTCAATAATCTCCATTAGTATCTACTCTTCTGGGCTGCGGCTTGTCACAGGCCTTACTGGGCCTCAGCACCATGGCAGCTGCAGGGCTCCTGGCACCGGCTGGCCTCTCGTACAGCGCACCTCAAGTTGGAGTACCTGATGATGAAGTGCTCAGTGATCATCCACTACCACTTGATGCTGGGCTTGGTGGATGTGAGAATGGGCACTTGAGCTTCATGACGCTATGCCACCCGGAGATCTTCACACCCATAAGCCCTTGGCCACAGCTCAGACCCTTCACCGTGGCAACTTCCACCTGCATTACCTACCATGGGGTAACAACGTCGCTGAAGCTGCTGTGTGTGAGCAGGGGCTAGGGAGGGCCGGGACTGGACCCAACCCACAACTCCAAGCATTGGTCCTATACCCAACCAGGACCTGGACCACAGCCCCCAGCCACATCCCTTTGACCTATGACCGAACCCTCAAGCATTGCCCTGGCAGATCCCAATGTACGATTCCAATCTCCCGGCCTTGTCAGCCACATTCATGACCAGGACACAGACTGCAGAGCCTGCCAGAGATCCTCACTATCACTTTCCCAAAACTGGAGGCTTAGGCACCTGTGCATGAGGGTCCTGGTTTTTTGGCTCCTCTGTATGTTCTGGGAGTTTGCATATATTTTTCACAACCAGTATGTAGGGAGTCCTGAACAGAAATGTTAAACTCTAGTTGGCAGAACTGAACAAAACTAAAATCTGTATTTTCTTAACTGAGGTATAACAAATAAACAAAAAAACACCTGTTTTTCCCTAGTTGTATCCATTTTAGTAGTCACATGACCCACCCAATTGCTCAAGCCAAAAGTCCTAGAAATTATTTTGATTTTTTTCTCTCTTCCTCATTCACCTCTATGTTGCACTATTATCATTATGAGACACAGCTGTCATTAACTCTCCACCTCTTAATTTGTACCTTTTACTCCTCCCCACCACAGTGTATTTTCCACAAGGTAGCCAGAGTGATCTATTAAAGCACACCATTTTAGTCATGAAATTCTCCAAAGGCTTTTCAAGGGACATTGAATAAAATCAATACTCTTCATCCAGGCCTGCAAGGCTTTATAGATTGGGGTCCTGTCACTTTTCCCTTATGTGTCATTTGGCATATCCTTGACCACATAAAACATCCCAACTATGGGAATTTACACTAATTGTCCTTTCTGCCTGGAATTTCTTTTTTCACATTTTCACATGCCTGGTTCCTTATATAAGTCTCAGCTGAACTGCTTTCTCCTAAGAATTTTCTTGACCATCTAATTCACAGTGGCACCAAAAAAAAAATGTCCTAGGTATTTTCACTGTAGCATATTTTGCTACAAACATCATCCGTGCATAACTCATTGCCAATAAGGCAATTGTGCTGTAAAAAAAGGAAAAAAAAAGATAACTTGTTGACAGTTCGATTCTGGGCGGGGGGGGGGGGGGTCCTTTCATTTCATTTCTCAATCAATAAATCAATCAACTGCCATAAAAAGGATAAACTAACTGGTTGACTGTGTTTTGCTTGTTTGGTTTCATTTCTCCATGACAAATCAACAAGCTTCACCAGACAATATATTTAAGCAAGTTGTCAGTTTAGTTTCATTTCTCCAGTCACAAAATTGCCACAATTACTCTTCTTTTAATACTATATATAAATCTTAGCTAGTCTTCATAATGGTCTATACAGTGATGAGTAGACATGGTGGTGGTCTTAAAATAGTGAGCATTTCTTTCAGATGATGATGTTTGGCCCCAAGAATTGATTTCTTATTTTTAAACACACTAGAAGGGGAAAAGAATGACAGGCCAAGGGGTCTTGTTGAGGGTGTAGAGTTTAATTCACATTTCTTACAGAATGAATACAAGTGCTTAGCTACAATCCATAAAATAAAATTAGTTATTTGAGCAGTATTGCCATGAATCTACACACATTTTATAAAGCATGTGAATATTTGTATTTCACAATATAATCTATTTAATTTTATTCCCTTTTTAATGCCCCTCTTTTTGTGATTTTATATCTTTTTTATGGCAAAATTGCCTTACAGCTAATTACTTATGCATGAAAATGCCTGTGGCAAAAATGTCTAAGGCAAAAATACCAGACACACCCCCAAACTATCACTTCTCCCTGTTTTAATCTCTTGTACTACTTATGCCTTATCTCATTTTCTTACTTGTTTGCTTTCCTATTTACTGTCAGTCCCTCCCTAAGAACAGAGAGGTTGTCTGATTTGTTCACAGCTGCATCATTCAGCCCTCACACATGACCTGCCACGCAAGTGGATTTCAAATATTTAATTAACTTAAAAGTGAGTCTGGTTCTCCTAGGGTTCCTTCTATGGCCAAAAGATTTCAAACTGCCTCTGATGAAGGACCACTTTCTTTTAAAAAATTTCTATTGTGTCACAGATCAATAGTTTTATAAAATACATTAAAAAAGACAAAATACTAACACCATTTTTTTAAATTCTTAGATTTAACAGATAGAAGAGTTTCAATCACTCAGTTTCTGTCCTTATGTTAGCACAGACAGCTATTTAGTTTTTAAAAAGAGAAGGGAGCTAAACTGGCTAAGCTTGACTAGAAAGCTACTGCTTCCAGACATTCCAGGAGATAGCCTCATTGTCCTGCCAAGAGGATTAACATCCCTCCTTCCCCTAAGAGTCAGGAGGGAGGATGGGCTTTCCAATCTACCCATGGAACAGCCCTTCCATTCCCTCGAATTGGGGTATGGGGTAAAGGGAAAAATCCTCTGCTGAGGTCTGCACAGTAGAAGTCATGATGGCGCATGGGAGGTTCTTCTACTTTGAGACATATGCAGTAGGATCCAAAATGGCAAACAAAAGGGAAGTGTCTAGTCTGGAAAAAAGACTGGATAGGGTAAGGGCAGGGAACCAGGGAAGATCCAAGAAAGGAGTTGACTAGGGGGAGGCCCCAGCACAAGCCTGTGAAAAATTAGGAAGATTGTTTAGTCTGAAACAAAAGCCTACTCCCTACCAAACTCAAGGAGATATAACCAAAGCTTAACAAAGGCTCAAGGTTTGTTTATTCTTGCCTCAGCACATTCTCTCCCCCTTTAGCAGCCACAGGGGCTGGAGCACAGTGCTGGAATATGGCCCGGCACCACTGAGCCTTGGTGACAGAGGTGCAGATGGGGAAATGAGACACAGGCAAGAGCAGCCAGTAATAAACACTGTTCTGGACTATCAGAGACCAGGGTGATAGTATATGCAGTTCTGGGTCCTGACCCTCCTGGTGGGCACTTGTGCTTACCAGGCCCAGGACTACTTTCGCAGCTAAACGAAGCTGAGCCACCTGGGAGTGAAGATAACATCAGGCACCTGGGGGGCAGTCCTTTCTCTCTAATAAGGAGTAATACCACTATACCTCAAGTCTCCTGTCCGTGGGTCCCCAAAATGCATTTGTTATGATTCTGCAAAAGAATCCTGTTTCTACTGGCAACACTTATGTATTTGTATAATGTTAACAAGCTGTTTACGGGCTGCCACCAGTCTACAGGTGAAAAGCAGAAAGGAAGAGGACAGAATACACACAAAACAACTGACAGCCAAGTGAAACCCAAAGGAGCAACTCAACTTTGACCCAGAAAAGTGCCTAAGTAACCTTCAGAAGAGCTCATACCTTAAGCTTGAGGCTGATGGGGCACCACCGACTCCTTCCTCAGGAAACTGAGGACAACAGGAATGACTTGACTCCTCTACTGGTCACCAGTAGAGAAAGTGATAACAAGCAAGCGGCAGTTTCTCCTCAAGGTCACAGGTCTCCAATGTGCCTGAGGAAGAAGGATGAGATTGAGCTAGAGAAGCCTGCAAGTCCCTGCATGAAGGTGGGACAAAAAAGAAGTGGAGGTTTTTGCCCACGAGTGACATAAATGGACCGTCTAGTACAACAGGGCAGGTGTATATCAAGAAGTCAGATTGGCCACTCCTCTCAACCAGACTTTTTCTTGACCTTTAGGAAAAAAGGTTTCTTTCTGTCCAAGCCTAAGCTCTCCCTAAGCATTCCAGATCAAAGCCTTTCTTCCCTTCTGAGATACAAGTCCATCAGTTATCTTTTTTTCCCTTTTATATTTATCCATCTTCCACCCGGTAGTTTGGATTATCAAAGACACCTTCTCCACCTCAACAATATTCAGATAACTTCAGATCTTCTCAATGCTGTCTCTTAAATCTCCCTCCAATGTGTTTCTCATCTTTGTTCCCATAACCACTGTCCTAGATAAGGCTTTCATTTCTTACCTAGAACACAGTAACTCCTTACCAAGTCTTCAAATACAAGTTTTGCCATTTTTTAATTCACAGCTGATAGTCACATTTAGTAATTTTTAAAAATCCCACAGAAGAAGCGGTGAGAATTCTGTGGTGAGAATGGAAAGGTTATGTTGATGGACTATAAACTTTGTAGTAGGTTGAAGGTTCCAAGAGGTGACAGTGGACCAAATGAAAGAATGAGTGTGACGGGGTAAAGAAAAAGAGAAAGTAAGTAGTCCTGCTAAAACAAGATAAAGTTGGGACTAAAAGACTGAATAATAAACAGTCATCCCTATAAACAGGAGCCATGCTCAACTAATCTTTAAATCCTCAGCAACTAGCACAACTGATTCAGAATCTGATATTTATCAATACACATTCAATTTAAAAGAATAATCAAATGCCACACATAAAATAGAATCCTGAGATTTTCAAACTCAACACTCTCATTTTCAGATGAGAAAACTAAGGTTCATAATGGTGAAGTGACTTGCCCAAGTCATAGATGAAGGGATGGGTTAAACAGGGGCTGTTGCCTTTGGCTGGTACATAAAAACACTCGGCAAGTATGGCGGGGTGAAGTCCTTTCTTTAAATTCAAAGGGCTATTAATATATACCAGAATATTAAAATTTATAATACTAGCAATCTCCCACTTCACCAACAGTGAATAAATAATCTTCATTAGGAAACAGAAGGAAGGAAAATACAGAGCACAAGGTCTTAGTCATGCTAATGTCCCTTGAAATCCTCAATTACTTTTCAAGGCACAGTGATGACATGCTCTGAGTACCGTGAGGCAGTTTACTCTTCTCTAAACAAACTGATTTTTGAAAGAGTTCACAGTATCTATGTATGTTAGGACTGTATTTGCCAAGCAAAAAGATTGTCTTGGTTAAGAATCAATTATTTTTTCCGTAAAATCCAGCTTGGTATTTTGCTCAAATAATTTCTTATGTGATGACTTGTTTACTTATAGCAAAGGAGAAGCTAAGTGTTAGAAAGCATGGGGCTTACTTCTGGTTCTGCCGCTCTCTGCAACAAAGGACATGGTACTTCTTTTTAGCTCCCTCAGATGTAGACCTGTCCTCTATAAAAGAGATGCCACCAAGGCAGAGGGGCTGGCTGACCCCTTCCATTTAAAACATTCTATTATTCTAAGTGCCAATCTTGAGATAACTTTCAGAAATGGTATTATGGAGACAAATGAGAAATCATTTCTTTAAAAAGTGCTAATAAATAATTTAACACTTTATTGTACGAATTAAACATGTAGATGTATTAGTAAAAGAATGAAGCATGAAAGGTGAACATTTTACCTACCATAGAGTTGTTCACATCAAGCAAGTAGAGAAATATCTGACAATAAATGCGCAAAAAAAATAAAATTATGGATGTACAAAGAGCGATGAGATAAAAAAGGAGTGAAATTCTCTTTTTAATAGATCTGGGGGGTGGTGGTGCCTAGGGATCTTAATTCTTAAAAACAAACAAACAAACAAAACACCACAAATGGTTCTAATATACAACCTGGTTGAGAAGCATTTCTGGGAGTGAGTTCGTTTTCCTGAGACTACTTAACATTGAAGTGAACATGTAATAGCTTTGAATTAACGTGAATGAAACGTCCAGCAGCAAAAGGCAGGCTTTCACAGAGATGAACAAGCAAATATGCTACGTGGAATATTTCAATAAAAAAGCAGAGCCCAGTGCTCTGGGGAGTGGGCCAAGCTCATGGAAGCAGGGTAGTTCAGTGGAAACTGATGTGTAATTTAAAGGCAGAAACCTTGACAGGTATGGCTCAGTTGGTTGGGTGTCCTCCCAAGGTAGCCAGTTGGATTCTGGTTATGGAACATGCCTCGGTTGTGGTTCTGCCAAGGCGCATAGAAGGGGCAACCAATCGATGTGTCTCTCTCACACTGAAGCTTCTTTCCCTTTTTCATTGAAAGACTCCACATAGCATCTTTGTTTGGTCGTCTCTTTGAAAGCCTGCCTTTTTCTGCTGGATGTTTCATTCACACTGAAAGTCATTCAAAGCTATTACATGTTCACTTCAATGCTAAGTAGTCTCAAGAAAACAAACTCCCAGAAAATCTTCTCAACCAGGCTGTATATTAGAATTATTTGTGGTGGGTTTTTCTCTTTCTCCCTCCCATCCTCTCACTAAAAATAAATAATTTTATTTTTTAAAGAATAAATTAAGGCAGCAGAGACCTGTGCAGACTCTGGCAACATCTTCTGATCGCTATATGCCCGCAGTATATTAACATTACTATGCCCATATTTACAAAACACCATACCTCACACTGGAGTCTAACAATAGAGAGAAAACGACACGCAGAGCAAAGACAGGATCTGACATCAGACGGGCACTTAATGCTGATTTCCTTCCTTAGTCCCAAGATAGAAGGGTTACTTACATTCTCAGGGAGATAGCACTATCGGAGAAGAAACCCCAACTCGCCCGGAACTTGATAATTCCCTCCTCTCAGGACAGACAGAGTTCCGGAAAGTTAGAGCTAGCAAAAAAGAAAAAGCCATCAAAATCAAGTCCACCCTGCAAGACTAGCCAGTCCAGGAAGACTGCAGGGAAAAGTTCCTTAGCTCCTGTTACTGCATGAAACCCTCTCCTCTCCTGGGGTGCCCTAGTTTCCGCCGCACTTCGCTCACCTCTCTCCACTGGGCTCAGGATCTAAGAGGCCAACTCTCTTTACCCCTCTTCCCACCAGGGTACATCCTGAAGTCCCTAGCAGTTCTTAGATGTTCGAGTTAGAGCAGTAGGAGTTCTCGGATTGGATGTGTCGCCTTTAGGGATGGATTTTTGGGTGCCCGCGACGCGTTACCCCGAGGACAGTGCTGTGGGGACAAAAACTTTGGTCCGTCACAGGAGCCCCTCTCGGTAGCCAACGTCCACCCAAAACCTCCTTGATGTAAGGCCAGTCACCGGCGCGGAAGAGGCCAACTACGAAGCCCGCAGGCCCGACAAGGCCGGAGCTCTGGCAAGAGGAGGGCCCCTCCGAGACCAGGGCGGTCGCAGCTTCCGGACACTTGTACGGCCTCGGACGCACCTATACCTTGTCGCGCGCCTTCCCACGGCCGCCCAATCAGGCTTTCGGGTCTCCAGCCCGGAGACTCTCCCTGGGACTCCTACATCTCCACCGTCCGACAACCCTCTGCAGAGGTGCCAGCAGCCAAACACGGCTCATTTCCCACGTGAATCTAATACCCAGAAGCGCAGGGTCCCGGATTGCATCTAGCGTCTTCCGTCTTCGCCACGCCCACGGCGAACTGCAAGTCCCAGAAAGCCAAGGGTGGATCAACGCTACTTCCTGTTCACACATCCGGTGCCCGTCCTAGGACTTCCAGCGGCGCTTCAAGGAGGTCTGATTTTAACTGTGTTTCGAGAGTTCATTCACGTTATTATTTTTAAAATTACCAGAAAGTAAGAATTATTTTAGGAATGCCCATTAAAGTGTTTTTCATTTTGTTAACGTACTACTGGTGGAGGGGAGAACGTAAATATCACCTGTAATTTCGTCTTTACCCATGAAAACATTCTGAACCGAATATATGCCACGTGGCATCCTCATCTGCCTCTTGACGTTTATTAGTTTAGCAAATATTTCAGTACCTACCGTGCCCAGGGGACTCTTAAAGACGCTTAAGGAAAAATCACTTTGGATGTTAAATACAAGTGAAGGAAACAAGCAATAGCTGATAGACAGTATAGTGTATTATAAGATTATATGTGTTATGGAAGAAGTAGAGGTAAGTCGGGATAGAGAGATGCTAGTGCAACTTAAAATAGGAAATTTTGGAGCCAAGACTTAAAGGTTGAGGAAATCAGTCATGTACCCTCAGCAGTCGGAACTCTTCCTAGGATTCTTTAGTTACAGAAGGGAGGACTTGGGAAAAATGGGGTTATTCCATCTTGACTGATACCAGAAGTCTCTGTTTTAATTTTTCACCCATTCATATATATTGCCAGTCGACGGTTGGTAGGCATTGGCTCCAATTCAACGCCAACAGGAATCCCCCGGTTTGGGGTACAGAGAAGGAAACTGTGTTCAGTGCAAAACAGCTCTCGTGATATAGTAAGGCTGTGAGGCAGCCCTGGGGCCAGGCGCCTCTCTGGTTAGACAGCTCTATTCTGCTTCTTTCCAGTCTGTTTTGCGCTGTGCTGGGGACTTTTGGGATGGACTATGGTGGAGATCAAGTTCATTCAACTGCTTCTCTTCCTGACCCTGGACCACTTGGTAAGAGCTGTAAAGTGGTTTATGGTTGGTAGTTACCTGTGCTGGGTTTGGAAGCACCTGGAAGAAGAGGCTGTGCTATGATCTGATGCTGGCTTCCACCTGTGCTGTTTGGGGCTTTAGCAAGAGGCACTGGGCATGCTGAGGCCAGGTGCTGCCTGTTTGGGCTTTGTGGACCTTTGGGAGATTTTAGAAATGTCTGCAGCACAGATGAAGGCTGGTTGCTTGTGTGGAAAGGCTGCTGAAATTGGTTCAGGCTTGTGCAGGGTTGTAGGCGGGGTAGTGTCCTAGGGATTAATCAGGGTGGAGTGAGAGGTGTTAGCTAGGTTTATTAGAGACTCAGATTTGGTGTCTGCCTTCACCTGCAGGTCTCAACAAAGGAATAATGGTGCCTTCCAGCACTTCCTACTGTGCTACCCATGCTGTGTGTAGGGTGGGCTCAACAATGGATAATGGTGCCAGACAGCATTTCTGTCCTGGAGAAGAGAGATGCCCCTCTAGCCCTTACACTGAAGCCAGATGATTCATTTCTTCCCTGTATGTCCCTGGCACTTTGCTGTTCTTTTACTGGAGTTTAGGGTTAGTGTTTCTGAATGTTTGCCCAGGTCTTTTAAAAGAAAACCTGAGTCTACAGCAGCCTTCTGTCTTACCCAAATGGAATCCCTGCTGATTTTTCACAACCAGAAATTGTGGAGACTCCTATTCCTGGATCTGGTGCTCTGCGCTGGGAAGCCCAGTGTGGGGTTGAAACCCCTTGCTCCTTGGTGGGGGATCTTCACACCTGAGATATCCTTCCCAATCCTTAATCGTCACAGGTGGATTTGGGATCAGCTTGTTTCCTGTCTCTGCCCTTACCAGTCTTGAAGTTGCTTTTTTATATTTTTGGAGGAATTCTGTTCAGCTGGTCTATAGGTGGTTCTCAAGAGAGGTTGTTCTATAAGTTAATTGTAATTTTGATGTGGTCATGTAAGGAGGCAAGCATAGCATTTCCCCATTCTACCATCTTGACTGAAAGTCCTCATCATTCATTTCTTTAATTACATAAATATTGGGTTGGCCAAAAGTTCATTTTGTTTTTTTCCACGATGGCTCTAGTAGTGCTTAGTTGTCTTTAACTTCATTCAAAACAATTTTGTTAGATTGTATTGTGACAGATGTCATATCAGTGTGCATGTTAAAAAAACATCAAAATTGGTGAATTTCTGTGCATCCATGTTAATATTGAAGATGGAAGAAGATACACAACATTTTTGGCATATTATGCTTTAATATTTCAAGAAAGGTAAAAACACAGAAAAAGATTTGTGCAATATATTGAGAAGGTGCTATGACTGATCGAATATGTCAAAAGTGGGTTGCAGTTTCTTGGTACTATTGACATTTTGGCCAAATAAATTTTTGCTGTGGGGCTGTCTTAAGCATTGGAAGATGTTTAGCAGCACCCTTGGCCTCTACCCACTAGAAGCCAATAGTGGGAGATAGCTGACATACTCAAAATAGCCAGATCAATAAAGTTATTGATGAAAATGAAAAATGTCTTTTATTTTATGGAAAAAAACATACAGACTTTTTGGCCAACCCGATATTTACCATGAAAATTATATTTATATAGATGACTGAGGTTAATAAAAAAGGAAATTCTCCCTCAAAACCAATTTCTTTAATATCCTTCAAGTTTCATCCACTAGAGGTAAAAAAAAAAACAAACAAAAAACAAGAAACTACAGTGGATTATCCTTCCAAATTTCTTTGCTTGTATGTCTGTGTATGAGCAGGAGGAAGACAATAGTATTGTTGGAGGATTGTACTTTTCATTCCTGACTACAAATCTAGGCTCAGTAATAAGGACAGTTATGTCCTTTCTAGGTGACCTTAACCCTGAGATACTGCTACTTTTGTTGAAGTGTCCTCGAGGGAGGAGTTAGTTTAATAAAGAGCATGATAATAAGCTTAGAATTCTCAAAAAAATTGCAGTTTTCTTCTCTTTGGCTTTAGGCAAATTCTGTCTATCTCAGCACTGGAGGACTGAAGTAAATCAAAGTGCACAGACTTCAAATCTTTGCAGGCTTCAAAAGGAACCTTTTTATAAGGAAAGGCTAGAGCCTCTGCTATGGACATGGGTGATATGTCAGAATAGGTTTTTGGGGGGTATCATCCAGCTAATACAATGTTCAATAAGAGTACTATTAAAGTAGTTCAATTCTGCCCAGTAGACTTAAATGCAAAAAAGATTAATTTGAGTATGTAGAGAAGAAAAAAAAAATTTAAGATTGATAAAAGGGTTTTTTTAAAAAGCTGATGGTGTCAACTAAAAATATAAAATCTGTATCTGCTACACACAGAACCATATCCAAGTGTGCACTAGATTAATAGAAGTACCTTGGGAAATTAGGTCAAAATAAACTGACAAAAATTATAAAATAAACATGATGATGATGATAAACAAGACATTTATTTTTCATACTCATTTGGAAGAAAGAAAAGTCATTTTGTGCTACCCAGTGATGGTCTTTCTGAGAGTCTCCATTAACTCCATAGAATTGGATAGGCTGCTTGATCTCAGAAGATTTTGTACTCTTAATTTATAAAGAGAATTCCCTTTGAAGAATGTGGTCAAAGGGTGAGCCTTTGAGAGCAGCTTCGCTGGTGCACAGCCAGACTTCCTCTCTGGGTGAAGCTTTTCCCACATTGACCACATAGGTACGGTGTCTCTCCTGTGTGGATTTTGCCATGCAGGATACAATTTCCCCTGGTATGGAAACTCTTCCTGCATTGTACACAGGCATATGGTTTCAGGCCTGTGTGGACTCTGATGTGAACAATTAAGCTTCCTTTCTGACTGAAGGCTTTTCCACACTGATCACATCTGTACGGCTTCTCACCACTGTGAACTCTTCTATGAACAGCAAGGTTACTCTGGTTCCTGAAACTTCTCTGACAAATAGCACACTCGTAGGGTTTCTGTCCAGTGTGGAGTCTTTCATGAACAGCCAGACTACCTCGTTGACTAAAGCTTTTCCCACACTCCTTGCACTGATAGGGCTTCTCTCCTGTGTGTATTCGCTGATGTGTAACAAGATTGCCTTTGGCCCTGAAGGTTTTTCCACAATGGGTACACTCAAAGGGCTTTTGACCAGTGTGGATTCTCTCATGTAATGTTAGACTACCCTTTTGCCTGAAAGATTTTCCACATTCCTGGCACTCATAGACCCTCTGTTTCACTCCAGGTGAATCTTCCTGTAGTGTCTTAAAATCTGGGGATTTTTGTTCCAGCTTCTCTCTTCTGAAAGAATTCTGGAAATCCCAGCTTGAGGATCCTGTGGCCTCAGAGTGATCATATTTGTGGTGGGCCTCTGTCATCACATCTAGTAAAATGAGAGGGAAGTCATGTAAAATGCACCAATATGCTGAGTGAGAAGACTAGGAAGAAAAGAAACAATGCTTTGTTGAGTGCTTATTATGTGCCAGACATTATACAGTGAATTTTGCATAGATAATTTAATCCTGAAAACAATCTTATGAGATTGTTACAGATAAGGAAATGAGATCATAGGGAGGTTGTCAAAAGTCATGCAGCAGATAAGCACAGAGTTGGGATTCAAACGAAGGCATGCTCCACATCAGTGTACTGCCTCTACATTTTGTTTAATTTAGCTTCCCAAATAATCTTGTGAGGTAGACATAAATATCTTGACTCAGAAAAATTAAGAAGACTACACAGGATCACACAGAGCCCCAATGCAATTTTATCTGACTTCAATTAGGTGAGGATCTAGGTTGTGCAGGGCCTAAAGCCTTAACATTTTGGAGACACTCCATTACAAAAAAAGTTATAAAAGTAGGAACAAGACCTTGAAGAAAACAATGAAAGAGAGGAATCCTGAAACTTAGATTTCATTAGCTTTGTGAGAAAACCACTCCTGCACTAGTCTGCTTTCCTGACAGTGGGGTAAACTCTATGTCAGAAAATATGCAGTAGAATTCTGGGTACTTTACACCTATTATCTTTCATTGCTGCTAGCCTTGAGGGTAGAACTTACTGTCCTATTTTACAGATGAAGACCCTGCAGTGCAAGGAAATTAAATAACCTGTCTGATATGGATCAAGCCAGAACAACTATAGAATCTGATCCAAGGAATTTTTCCCTTTAAAATTCATGCTACTTCAGTTTACTAAGGTATGGGTGGAATTGAAATCAATTTGTGTTTGGAAGTTATTCTCAAACACTTCCTATGCAATGGCTGACAGTATTTTCCAATATTGCCTTGTATCTTAGCCTCCTACTGCCTTTTAAATATGGGTCCAATTTATCAATATTAACAGTTTTCTTGGAGTCATCCTAAGGAGATTTTTCTCATTGTTTCTCTGACTTACCCTTCTTTACTCAGTGACTGAACTGAGATTTAAAGCTGCTTATTCATTCTCTGAGAGACCACCTCAAATTTACTTCTACATCAGGATTGTTCTTTTGCTGTTTCTACTGTTATTTCTGACTCCAGCTTTCTGGCTTTCCCTTTAACCCCCAAAACAGTGAGCTCCATCAAAGGAATGCCTCCTCTGCTTCCTTAGCCTGCCAATCAGTGCTGAGCATAGGGACAGAAATCAACTGTCCCCGAGGACAGGAACAGGACTCACTCACTGAAAAATGCTACATTCTGGGCATATCTTCCATGACAGTCCAGCAGGGTAGCTGTTGGAAATCCAAACATGTCCACTCTTGCTGTATGATCTTAATCACCACCTCTTCATATAATGCTTCCATAGGCCGTTCTTGAGCACCTGAGGAGGAAAACAAACCAAACAAACAAAAACAAAACAGAACAACAAAAACAGGAAAAGAGCAGGAGAACTGATGAGTGAAAAAATTTAAAGTCAACAGGAGCTCCAGTTTGGGGTACGAGTAAATGGAGGAACTCTAGATGGCCTGATGTAATGTCAGTCACCTATAATGTAACAGCAAAGTGGCCTTAGAGGTACCATGACCATACACAAATGAGCCCTGGAGGAAGAAGGAGGTGGAAAAGCAGAGAACATGCAAACACATCTCTCTCTTTTCTGGCCAGTCCCTAAGATAATGGGCACTCCTGTTTGTTCCTTAGCCTTGGCATGATTAGAATTTTCCAATTCCTTCCCCCATCTAACCATCTGTTATTTGGATAGCCTCCAGAGAAATTCAGAATCTAAAAAAGTCAACATTCAGCCTTCACGATTGGTCCCACAATGGAAATGGCTGTAGCTCTCCTCTCCAATTCCCCCTAAATTATAAGGAGAGAATAAGAGATTTCACATGTTACCTTTAAACGATTCTTAGGAGTCTCGACATCCGGACCCTCCCCTTTCCTACTTTTCAGGATATGAGGATAACTGTTTTAAGGGAAGTGTAAACACTTGTCAATACTTGGAAAAGGAAGAGCTACTTTGGACTCCAAAACCAAGCCCAAGGTATGCCAACTAGGGTAAGTAACTTGCCCAAATTCTCAGAGCCAGTAAGGAGTCAAGGTAGAAGAAGGATTCAGATCTAAGATTTTCTGGATCCAAAGCCTATAGCTTCACACTAGACAATTCTCTAGTTCTCATCACTAAAGAGCTTGTGGGAATTTTTATAAAATAGAATAGAACAGGGCTTGGCAAGACTTTATTACTCTTCTAGATCCTAGGAATTCTCTTGCCCTATATTATCTACACTTTTTCTTTGGAATATTCTCTTCTTACTTCAGGATCCCGATTACTGCATTCTTATACTTTCCACAGTGATTCAGTGTCTAATCTTCATTTCCTTCTAACATATCTCATCAAATTGCCAGCCACCATCTTGGTCAGGTGGCTCTCAGTTGGAGTGTTGTCCTGTACACCAGAAGGTTGCAGTTTCCATTCCTGGTCAGGGCACATACCTGGGTTGTGGGTTCCATCCCCGGATGGGGCTCAACAGATTGCTGTTTCTCGTCTCTCTCCTTCTCTCTCTCTAAAATCAATAAACATATCCTCCAGTGAGGATTAAAGAAAAAAAAAATGTTGGCCACCTGATTTAATGAAATAGCAGTGTGACGCTATAATTCTTTGTTTTGTTAACTGAAGCACCTGATCTTGTCAACTGCACATTCTGCTACATGTGCCTGAAGAGGCATTTTTGAATTCTTACTTGGAGGATTCACCTCCAGTTTGGAGTACAAGCTACAAAGGAATCCCCTATTAAGAGTGTCAGGATGCTACTGGATGTTAATTTGAAAATTCAAGGTGTTACTGCTCATTAACTGCATATCCACTGAGAGTCAGTGGAAAGTATCTGGTACCTGCTGCCTGAAGTTGGACTCTGTCCCTGGGGAATCCAGCAAAGAGTGTGGTCAGAACTTATAGCCATGCCTCTCCACGTACTGTGAAATCTTCAACAAGTAACCCACTCAACTGCATCTCAGGAACTTCCTTGATTAATAAAGGGAAACTCTTATTTTTCTCCCTAGATCACATCTGAGGAATATCCTGAAGATTTTGGAGAAAGTGGCTTTATTATAGCAAATATTACCTTTCCTAACAGAAGAGCTATCTATTTTTTGAAAAAGCTCAGAATTAGGCCATGAGAGACTTGGTTCTCCACTTCCCCATATGACCTTGGGCAAGTAATCAAACAGCTCTGATTCCATTTCTTCACTTACTAAATAGGTTAATAACAGTTTCATATCAGGTAGTTCCAGGGAGAATAAAAGAATCAAATGTGAAGGGCCTCTGACAATAACTGTAGATTTAAGGTCTAAAACAGAGTTCTCAAAGGGAGAGGATGAGAAGAAGGGATGACTTCTGTCTCCAGAAGCTCCTAGGGGATAATTTCAGTATTAGGAGATTCTGCGTAGGGGTGATTATTTTCTCCACACAACTGATTCCACTTTGTCCTTTTTCCCATTTACCTTCCCTAGAGAAAATGCAAGTCTCTTGTCCTGAAACCCTCACGGCTGGGTTTCGATGCCCTCCCTCCCGCGAATCCAGACTGAGGGGCCTTCCACAAGCTCTGCCAGGTCTTGGTCGTGGGGCCCCTGCTCCCTGGAGCAAACTATCTCTCTCTCTCTCTCTCTCTCTCTCTCTCTCTCTCTCTCTCTCTCTCTCTCTCTCTCTCTCTCTCTCTCTCCTCTCCCTCTCTCTCTCTCTCTCTCTCTCTCTCTCCCTCCCTCCCTCCCTCCCTCCTTCCCGAACACCGCCACCTCCCGCCGGCACGCCCAGCATGCTGAACCTCAAGCCCCCGCCCAGCTCCGGTCCAGCTGGACCCTTCTCTGCAGCCACCGACTTCTCCCCTCATGGCTGGCTCCCCTCGCAGAGGGTAGGCCCGCACGGCTCAGGGCCTTGGGGGCGATGGAGGGCCCAGGGGCCACCTGCCAGTGTGGCCCAGGCCCGCCTGGGGGCACTGACCTGCCAGTAGCCTCATTCACCGCAGCCGCTCAAGCCCACAAACAGACAAAGGCCAGTACCGGCCTGCTGCAGTACCCGCAGAGCCTATCAGACTACAATTCCCAGGAGGCTCTGCATAAGCCCGCCCCACCCCCCCGCCCGGCTTCCCCGGAGCGTTGTGGGAAATGTAGTTCCTCAGGGTGTCCCAACCCTCCGCCTGACGTGTGGGCTTTTTCTTAGACTAGAACCCAGAGGAAAGGACAGTCCGGTGAAGCAGTCTGCTGAACCAGGAACTGAGTAATATAGTGTTCTTGCAGGGTGCCGTGGAAGGAAAGTCTTGGGGAAGTTGGTTAATAAAGCCTTGGGTGCTTAGGGTTTATGTGTTGAGCCACTGTTAAAGGCTAAGTCTCTCTCTGGAAGCTAGATCTTTGGAATTGAATCCCCTGTTTTCCTTACTTGCTGCAAGTAAATAAAACTACCTTTTAACAACCGCGGCTCCATCTTTAATAGAACACCCCAAGGAATAAACTCCTTTAGTTTGGTAACAAACTTGGCAACTCCATATGGGACTCTCTTAAAAAGGCTCCCTTTCTCCTTGGCCTTGTGGATGCTTGATGAAGCAGTTGGCAGCTCCTTTGGGGCTTATCCAGTAGGAGGTTTCCGCTTGGTGCTGACCACAGAACCACTGCCTGGCCTGCTGGCACCTGAACCTGTTTCATTCAGCGCTTCAGAAGGAAGGCCTGTAGGTCAGCCCCTGTGTTGCTTCAATTAGCGTTTTTATTCCCGCTTCCGGTACAGGGTGTCAGAAACGTAGTTTCTTTCAGTCCTAGTGCGTGTTTTCTGGTTGATTGGACAAGGATTGTCGCTGGGAAGACAAATTCAGAGTCTCACCTAGGTCTAACTCTGTTTGGGGAGTTGAGGAATGCCACCTGGGACATCTAAGACAGGGGTCCCCAACCCCTGGGCTGTGGACCAGTACATCCTGTGGCCTGTTAGGAACCCCCTGCAGGGCGAGCAAGGAAAGCTTCTCTTACATTACCGCCTGGGCTCTGCCTCCTGTCACCCCTCCCCCATCGGTGGAAACATTGTCTTTCACAGAACTGGTCCCTGGAGCCAAAAAGGTTGGGAACAGCTAATCTACGACAGCCTCAGGAGACAATCTGTGGTCTGGTTGTGTGTTGGTCTGTCTTGTAGGAGTTGGATTTTGTTCTTTGTGTGGCCTTGTCTTATATGTAAATGTATTGGACTTGCAAAATGAAGCAGTTATCAACTACATGTATGTATTTTGAGTAACAGAAGCCAAAAGTTTTGGCTTCCTAGCCCCATGGTGTAGGAGGAAGGTAGAAATGACACAGGGAAATGAATTGATTTTAGTAAGAATTTAGAGTGGCTTTAAGAAGTAATTTACTGGTTCTCTGTCCATTCACCGGCAAGGATGGTTTTGAGCTCGCTGACTCTGGGCAAGTGTGCACTCATGCATTCCCTATGTCAGAGCCTAATCAAGTTCAGAAGACTCCTGAGACCTCAGCTTCTTTTGAGAGTAGTAGCCCATTAGCTCCCTCACTTTAATTCAAAGTTGTGGGGTGGCTGGAGGTGGGGCAGGTTGAGGTGAGACTACTTGTTCTTTGCCTCCACAGGCAGGATGAAGTGCTTCTAAGCTGTGTCGTGTCCTTGGGTAGTGATTCCCTCTCAGCCTGGGCACAGGCCCCTGTGGCTGTGAGAGCCTGCTGACTGGCAGTGAAATGGGCCAACCTGGGCACTTGCCCTGCTGTGTAAGCAACAAGGTGGAACAGTCCAATATATTGTCACAGCAAATGGAGCCATAGAAGTTTAGGAACAGAACACTGCACTTCTGAGTGTGAGCTGGAAGGGAGACAGGTGCAGGGAGGCCACACCAACCAGATCCTTCCTTTTTTAGCAGATTTGGTCTGAATTGTGGCAGGTAAGCCAAGCTGTTAAACCAGACAGCCTAGGCCTGCCTTCTGCTTTTCAGAGCCCTGCCTGTGCTCCCACCAGGAGAACAGAGTGCCAGACTTGGGGAGACCTTCTCAGCCCATGTTCTCTCAGAGTCCAAGAGCCAGAGGGCTGACAGGAGCTGGGGCCTGTAAATGTATTAGGAAGTGACTACTTTGTGGGCATCTGGGCTGGAGAGAAGAGGTGAGGCTGGGCAGTGCCTCATGTGAGCAGCCCCTCATGGCATGCTGACTCTTTATTTTCCCCTCCTGTTTGATTACAACATGTGTCCACAGCTGTTTGTTTTCCTTCAGTTGTCAGCGCCTAATTTTTTCAATCTGGGGACAAAGGGTGGGAGGAGCCAATTCTCAGGTGATCTGTGCATCTCACGGCTTAACCCAGTGCCTATGGGACAGTGGGTTTGGGAGACAGAGGTAGAAAATGACTGGTGGTTTCTTCCTGTATCTTGATTTTTGGGTGGTCTTTCAGTTTGTGGGCTGCAGTTGTGTAGCTGGCTAGCTAGGGGATGGTGTCTAAAAGGATGTCAGGTTATAGAGGGCCTTGTGCTGGGGGCCTGAACAGTATGGCCTCAAATGTTTGGTTTTACTCTTCACCTGTACACACACACACACACACACACACACACACACACACACACGATTGTATTCCCCAGGAGTGTCTGCTATCATCATCGGGGTGGGGAGAGAGGGGCTTTTTTGTGGTACATCTAAGAAAGCAGATGCAGAGGGCCATGTCAGGACCTCCTCCCAAGCTGTTCTCTTCCTCAGGCCCAAGGCCTTACAAGGTGCAGCTCTTTATGGCCACATGGCAAGCATCAATGCGCTTGAGAAACTATGGGAACCCTACTGGATATTGTGTAAAACTGCTGTATCTGGCTTCCCTTCCCCTCTGGGATTACAGTGTTTTATCTACTGGGCTCTCCTTTTCTACATAGTCACTTCCTGCCCAGCCCCTACCTGTCCTTCAAAGTCTGGACAGACCTAGAAGCTTAATAAGTGATTCCTGAATAAAAAGTATGGTTTGATGTCCTGTATCATATGGGTAAAGTTCCAGATATGACATCGTCCCCCTTTCTCCCATGGTGGCAAAATTGTCCATAGGGAGGCTTTCAGTCTGGTCCAACTTGCTCATTAGATCCCCACCAGAAAGTGAGTTTGTGAGCAGCAGGGTCTCTGCCTCCTTGATTTTTCCCACTTCTGCCTCACCTCTTATGACACGTGTCTCCTGTTAAGAGTAGTGCTCTCCTTGTGCACTCTGCTTCTCAGGAATCCCAGAACCTAAGAGAACCCAAAACTTTGTCAGGCAGAGAGAGAATTTTGCTTCTTCAGCTCAGAGATGTATTACTCTGTCTATGTTCATCAGGAAGCAGTTACAAAAGTATGACCCTTGTTCCTGTTCCTTGAAGAATGAGGAATGAAAAATTTGGGGGTGCAGAGGGCATTGTTAAATAGGACAAGGATTTAAATGTGTAGGCAGTTCTTTTTTTTCATGATTTTAAAATTTATTACTGAAATTACTGTTTTTTTTTTTAATTTTTATTTTTTGTTCAAATAATTTGTCTTCACCTTCCCACCACCACTTTCCCCTGTCCCCCTCCTCCCCCTCCCTCCCTCAATCCTCCCCACTTTGGCTCTGTTCATGGGTCCTTTATACATCTTCCTTGACTTGACCCTTCCATTCCCTTTCCCTGCCCATCCCTCCATTCTTCCCTCTTGACACTGTTGGTTTCTTTTTCTTTCAATGTTGCTGGTTATATTCTCCTTGCTTGTTTGTTTTGTTGGTTAGCTTCCACTTATAGGTGAGATTATATGGTATTTTTCTTTCACTCCCTGGCTTATTTCGCTTATGCTTTCTAGTTCCATCCATACCGTCGCGAAGGGTCGTAGTTCTTTTTTTCTTTCTGCTGCGTAGTATTCCATTATGTAAATGTACCATAGTGTTTTGATACACTCATCTACTGCTGGGCATTTTGATTGCTTCCAACACTTGGCTATTGTAAATTGCGCTGCTATGAACATTGGAGTGCATATATTCTTTTGAATTGGTGTTTTGGGATTCTTAGGGTATACTCCCAGCAGTGGAATCGCTGGGTAAAAAGGCAGTTCCATTTTGAGCTTTTGGAGGAAATTCCACACTGTTTTCCACAGTGGCTGCACCAGTCTGCATTCCAACCAACAGGGTACCGGGGTTCCCTTTTCTCCACAGCATCATCAAAACCTGTTGTTTGTTGATCTGTTTATGATGGCCATTCTGAGTGGTGTGAAGTGGTATCTCATTGTGGTTTTATTTGCACTTCTCTGATGGCTAATGATGCTGAGCATCCTTTAATGTGTCTCTGAGCCCTCTCTCTCTCTTCCTTGGAGAAGTGTCTTCCCAAGACCTTTGCCCATTTTTTAATTGGATCGTTTGTCCTCTTGGAGTAGAGTCATGTGAGTTTTTTTATATATTCTGGAGATCAAACCTCTATCTGATGTATCATTAGTGAATATATTTTCCTATAAAGTTGGCTTCCTTATCATTTTGTTGATATTTTCTTTAGCCATGCAGTACCTTCTTATTTTGCTGAGGTCCCACTTCTTTATTCTTTCCTTTTGTCCCTTGCTTTAGGGGAATTCTTGGTGAAAGTATTGCTGCGTGGGATATGTGAGAGTTTCCTGCCTATGTTCTCCTCTAGGACTTTTATGGTGTAGTGACTTGTATTTAAGTCTTTTATTCATCTTGAGTTTTTTTTTTTTGTTGTATGGTATAAACTGGTGTTTGCACGTAACTTGTCCAGCTATCCCAACACCATTTGTTGGAGAGGCTATTTTTACTTCATTTTATGCTTCTGAAAACCTCATTGAATATTAGTTAACCGCAGAGACATGGGTAATTTCTGTAATCTGTTACGTTGACCTGCGTGTCTGTTTTTATGCCAGTACCAGACTGTTTTGATTACAGTGGCCTTGTAACATAGTCTGATGTCCGGTATTGTGATCCCTCCTACTTCATTTTTCTTTCTCGAAACTGCTGCAGCAATTCGGGGTCATTTATGGTTCCATATACATTTTTGAAATGTCTGTTCTATGTCTGTGAAATATATCATTGGTATTTTAATAGGGATTGGGTTGAATCTAAAAATTGCTTTGGGTAATATG